CGCCGGGTGTGAGGAGCTTGCTAGGTGTGTGTGTCTGTGTCTGTGCGTGCGCATGCGCGTGCCTATGCTCACCTGTGCTTATATGTGCGCATGAGTGCCTATGTACCTCTGTGTGCGTGTGAAGTACATATGTGTGTGGTGTGCCTATGTGTATGGTCTGTTTATGTGCTGCTTGTGTGCGTACGTTATGTGTGATGCATTTATGCATAATCATGGTGTTATACGTTATATATCGGAGAAGAGAGAAGAAGAAAAGAGAAAATAACAGCTAAATTAAAGAAGAGAAAGAGAAAAAGCGGGGTGCAGTCACTAGTTAGACGTGGGCACATCTTACCTCAGGCTATGCTTTGAGACCAGCAGTTATTGTATTAACGGAGACATACAGTACCTTGGAAAAGTTAGCGGGGTTTTTTTTTTTTTTTTTTCCCCTCCCGGATTATTTTACTCTAGTATAGCCAGGGGGTAGTATCTTGATCTCGGTAAAGTTGTCCGTTGACATACAACCTGTCCACGGTGATGACCGCTCGCTATAGTATTAATTACTTTGTGCTTATACCAACTTTGTCAACATGTTTTTATAATACATAGAAACGAATATCAAGACATTAGATAAAAGCAAATGTGAATGAACCCCACCCAGAATACAGCAAATCAATCTTTATTTCATTATTATAAACAGTTTAAGAGATTCTTCCATTTTACTCTATCATTTCAGTTTAATATATGGTTACATTGCATTGTTATCCATTTACACTTGCAGAAATATAAATGTAAGTCATTCTGAAAGTTAGCAAGAATTTGCTCATTCTCGCCATGATTTTTTGAAGACTTCTATAGGGTGATCTAGTTCCCTGCAGTCTGTTGCTCGATATCCATGGGTGTCTCTTCCTCCTTGAGAATTTCAGAGAGTTCACTAAGTCTCATTGAAGAACTGAGATTTTTCATCAGTGTCTGGAGATCATCTTTTGGAATGATTTCACAAAGTGAGGTACGCAGCTCGGAGGATTCACCACACTTCTTTGCAGTAGTGATGACTGTTGATAAAACACTGTCCAGATCTTCTTTCCACATCTGTAGCATATAACAGATAAATCCTGCAACAACCTGAATTGTAGATTTGCTCTTCATTGTTTCAGCAATTAACTTTGACAGAAGTTCACATTTCTTTTCATCCATCATCTGTAGGAGTAAATGCTCTAGTATTGACCTCATGGAAATGCCAAACTCAATCACACTCTTCTGTTCTCCAGCAATTTCATAAAGGAAGCCACCAGTGTGCAAGCCTACCAGTTTGCAATTTTCCCCAAAGATCGGAGAACCTGAGGACCCATGAAAGAAACATGTGTTATATGTCAATTCTTTATCCTTCAAGTCATTGATATACTGAATGTGACGCCCTTTCCTGCCAAATTGTCGTTTTACTGCATTTGCTCTTTTTTTAACTTCAATAATGGAACTTGAGTCCATCTTTTTCACCCCCCCATGAGGATGACCAATGAGGCAGATTCCTCCCTTCCCTGGGAAAGGTGCATATTCTCTTAGAAGAGTAGGAGGTAGTTTTAAATCAGGCTTCCCTAGTGAGTCACCTAGCTCCAGTAAAGCAAAATCCATCAAACGTTCCTGTTGATCCAAACCGTACCAGCCAGCCACAACCTCTTCTTTTACACACCATAAGTTCTTGGATTCTTCTGTGAGATCTTCAAAGGCAAATGTGACATGAACTTTTCTCCCTAAAACTGTACCGTTAGTAATATCCTTAATAACATGTGCGTTTGTTAGGATATAACGATCAAACAGCAAGAATCCTGTCCCTCTCATGTGGTTCTCAACCTCAATGTAACAAACTGAAGCACTCATATTCATCAGCTTCTTGCCAGTGCTTATTTCAGAGAAACTCTGTATGTTCTTTCCAAACTCCTCCCTTAGTAACTCTACCACATCTTCGACTTTCCTTTTCTTGTGCCTTTTCTTCATCAGCTCCACTAGACCTTGAAACTGCTCACGTAGAATCTCCAGGATTTCTGTGGAGTCTGGTATCTCATGTACTTTCTTATATAAATCAGGCCCCTTAACTGCCATTGCTTTGTCTGAACTGGGTTTGGATCCAACAGAAGAAGAGCGTGTGGATGGATTTTCAGTATTAGAACTAGGATCAGATTTTCTGCCGGATTTTAGCTTCCTCTTATTTGCTGTTTTGTCTTCTGCCGGTCTCTTCAGTGCTGTCTTTTTCAGCTGTAAAGTCTTCAGATTGCCAAATTTTGGGGGGATTTTTGTAGTTAACTGAATATTTGTTTGTTGTTCTCCTTCTTCACATAGAGAGACCGATCCCTGAAACACTTCATCTATAAATCGGCCATCTCTTTTCAATGCATCCTCTACCGTCTCCCCAATATACGCATATATGCAAAGGGACTTGTTGTTTTGAAGTTTTGAGTTCCTCAAAAAACGCCTTTTCCTCATGTTCAATCCACCAATGCTGCTAATGCAAAAAGTGACAATATCACCGTCTTTTATTTCATAACCATCGGAAACCTCAGCTGCCTCACCAGGGAAACTTTTAATGAGGACAGTTTCTTCGTCTTTAAACAACCAACAAGGAAAGTGTGTGGCTATAAAGCTGTTGTCTCTTTCAATGATAATGCTTTTTCCTTTTTCCCTGTTTCTCTCCAAAAAGGTTCTGAAAGGTGGATCTGCTTGAAGTGCCTCCAGCACTGTGCCCCGTTTAGTGCAGGTAACCATGTGATTCTCCTTGTTAATTTGATAATAGAATGAGTGACTATGTTTCTGGCCCAGTGTAGTTTTCTGTGAAAGAGAAATTAATATTACTATTAGTAAAATACATCCAAACTTAATGTGTTATCATCTAATGACAACCATTTTACTGTGATATTACTTCGCAATTTTCATTCTAATAAGTCTTCGCAATGTCCAGTTAACTATCCACTAAAACCAAATTCCATTATTTAAGTAGCGTGAAAAAACACACTTTCTGAGAAACAACTTTACAAAATAAACCTAAATCATCATCATGAGGGACCCTTAACACCACAAACAGAAATCTGTCTTTACACAGCCACCAGTGAACAGTTTAATGTTTTCAACAGTTACGAGGATTGTTGTCAGCAAGGCAAATGTCAATGTGAACAAGATACAAACGAATCTCACTTTATATTCATAATTAGCAGTAATGTTAGTTATCTATTTATCAAAAAATAGTTAAAATTAAGAGTATAAAGTAATCCGTACAAACCATCATGAATACAAATGTTAACTAGTACAAACATAAATACTCGTTAAATGATTGACTTCATAAATCATCTTTTAATTACTCAATTACATGTTAAACAGACATTCCATCTATAGTAAAAAGTCCCACATTCATCAAAAAGTGGATGCAGTTTTCATCAGACACCAACGATATGTACTGATTCTCATAATGACAGCAGACAAAGACAGACTGGGCAGGCCGTACGAGACACACCTCATCATCGGGTTCCGTCTTCACCCGGACTGCAAGATTCNTATTTAGATATACTATTCTTCAATAAATATATTTGTTTGACAGGGAAGCTGTGCGCAAACAGGAATATATATTATTTTTCAAAAAAAAAAAAAAAAAGCACCCCAGAAAAAAGGGCACTTTCTCTCCAGGAATAAAAAGGGCAGGTGCTCAAGCCCCCTTTGATCTCTATGTGTGCACGTGCCTGATCGGCAGTTGTGTATCGGAATCGGATCGGAACTGAAAAAATGTGGATCGCCCATCTATAATGGAACATGGCTTACATTCTCGGTGGAAGTCTGATCGGAAGCCATTGAATTATTTTCTGTAACAAGAAAAGGTCTCAGTTATTTTAAGAAAAGGAAAATTACAAAGCAGATAGAATAACATTTAAAAACATCCCTACAGACACAAATTTCAGAATGACATATCTAATGGGATGGTGGTACAAGCAAAACTCAAAATGTCCTTAAAGATAACGGACTTGAATAACAGGCAAATAGCAAACTGGAAGAAGACAAACATCAAACTGTAGACCCTGGATGGGATGTCAGTGCTTCACAGGGCACAATCACACACTAGGGGCAATTTATAGACTGTTATTTGCCGAAGAATGAGGAAACGAGAGTATTGCTGCATTACTGTTACAGTGCAGACCACACCACGTAACAGTGCCCAAAGAAATGCGCTAACGGGGGGGAACATGCAAACCCCCAATACACCAGGGCCATGCAGAGATGTTTGAAGGGGCGGGTGCTCAGTTAAAAAGGGGAACATAGAACCAGGCTGAATAACAACAACCCACATTCATCAAGAATCTAATATGGAATCGCATCATACTATATCACTGTCATCGGGTGGGACAATGCAAAGCAAACGTAGCATATATGTTTTACCTGATGGGGCACAATGTTGCTGTTGAGGGGTTGCTCTCACTTGCTCTCCATCTGAGAACAAGGCACGATTTGCTATTGCATTAATCTATTACTTAATTATCCACACTTAACAACTCTTGCACCTAATCCATAATAAAGTAATGATAGAAAAATGTTATAGAACCAAAACATTGCAATTGTGTTTATTATTGTTTTTATACTTGAATACCTGGTAGATGTGTTATTATTACCTGTGATCTTTTTAATCCATCCGGTGAGGGATCCACTGCCTTTAGCAGCCTCATATAGCTTATTTTGTCGCTGTTTCCTCTTCCTCTCCACACGAGGCATGTCTGGACAATCATGAGTAATTATTGAAAAAGAATCTATACACATAAAACACGCACACACACATGCACATACAGTGACATTTTATACCTTCTCCAGAATACTGTATATACTATGGCCATAAGTTTGCATCATGGTGCTGATCCAGAATCCTTCCCTTATTATTTATTCCTTGTGTTATAATAATAAAGCAATAAGAATAAAATAATACAGTAAT